TTTTGAGAGCGGCCAGCCCAAGCACCGAAGTTTGAAAACATGCCATCAGCAAGACGGTCAATTTGGGACCGACAAATTTGCCCACAGCTGACGGAGAGACGGGGAGACGGAGACACTGGGAGACCGATGACCATGGCCCATGCAGGTTTGGCCCAGTGCCATTTTCGCTGTTGCAGCTATGATGTTGGAGGGCGCAACCCCTAAGGCCTCTGTCTCCCAGCACATGTTGACCATTGCTTTATTTGTTACATACGGAGGGGGGTGTATCTTTTGGCAAATCCATAAGATCAAACCCTGGGAATTCTTGTGGTACCCATACTGTGGACAAAATCCACCGGTTCGGAGCAAAGACCTGTGACTCCTGACGTAGATAAACCACCCACTGGTGCCAAGTGGATTTGTCCATCCACACGTTAGTATTCTTTTGGACAAATGGCTATTGATTGGAACCAACTCGGCGGCTTCGGGCGGAGGATGGGGTGACTTCCTCTCTCTCTCTCTCTTAATTGGAACCAAGTTGAAACCAGCGTGACCAATCTATTTTCCACCAAGCAGACCTCAAAAGGACACCTGGGGGCACAGATTTGGGCTTGAATTTTAATTGGGAACCCTTTGGTGGACATGTGGGGATTCATGTCCACCAACCACTTTTCAGGTTCTCTATTAAAATTCATAGCCATGCTGTCCCCCAGTAGTGCCCTTTTACCCTTTTTTGGGGGAGGGTACCGTGATTCTAACCTCACTGGAGGACCTGGTAGCCATTTTGTCCCGTACAGGCCATGTGGCTCGACCGCAGGCGACTTCCAGCGATCCCTGGAGGACGCCAACGCCTGCCTGGCGCTGCTGCCGGAGCACGCGAAGCGCCTCGAACCTTGAAGCTCGAAATTCGGCTGGGCCGTGCGCATCCATTCCGGAGAAGCTATAGCACGCTTGAAAGCTTCATGGGGTGATGAACATATTTATATATATTTGTATGATTATATGGTCCAGTATATATACATATATATATATATGTATGTTATACATGTATATGTGGGTACCCTAGCCTGTGCAGTCTTGCATCGGCGCTCTGCCTCCTACCCGGCTGGCCTGTTCGCGGCTTTCGCTATAAGCTTTCATCCATGCCAGTCACAGCCCTCGACCGGAGCGTGCGGATTCTCTTGCTTTGTCTGTCTGCAGTCGACTTGAGGTTCAGCTTTCAGAGACGACTTCCGACTTGCGGCCCAGGAATTAAACCCACCCACCTTTTCCAGAGTTCAAGTCTTAGGCTCCATGCCACGTGAGCCTTGTGCCTTCGCGCACGCAGCGCCATTTTACGTCAACTTCGGGCAGCTGTGCCTGCGGTCGTTTCCTTGCAAATCACCGAGCTTATTTTTGACTCCTCCTTTGTAGGTCTGCTCTATAGGTCGTCGCTTTTGTTTCATTCTTCTTGACTTGGTGCTTCTGTTTTCAGTGTTCGTGCAATTTCCGTGCTTTTGGCAAAAAACATTCAAGCTACAGACGATTCCCGTCCGTGCTACTTGGTTCATATTGCGATCGCTGAAGCGTCCTAGGTTTGCAACTTGTGAGTCTTCGGAAAGCATTTTCCGTACTGAAGCAGTGGTGATGCTGGGGGCGCAGACCAATTTCAATTGACGGACTGTTGCGACATCCACTTTTATCTCGCGGAAAAGCCTTTCTTCGCTAAAGCACTGGTGATGCTGGCTGGGGGTGTCGGTCGTCTATATAGATACATACATATGTATACGACGTGCACACGTTGCCAGAGTCACACAAACATCGATTGATTTGCTGCCGATTTTGTGGGTTTCGAGCTCACCGATTCGAGCGTAACATGAGGGAACACCCAGGGAGGGTTTTGGTTTGGGGTGTCCACTACGTATTGCTGATTTTGGATTGGTGGAATTTGCGGATCCACGGTGGGAACGGGTTTTTGGAAAAGACGATGGTAAAGAATGGATACACTCAGGGCCGTGAAGCAAGCGGGTTTTGGGGCCTTTATAGTGGCAGAGTAGCCGTGTGCACGGGAATCTTGAGACTTATTTGTAAGTTTGTACATCTGTATTGTTTGTATACTTGGCAGTTCCTAGCCATACCCTTAGACCTGTAGGTTTTTGAGTTGAGAGTTGGATGCACAGACCCGTCTAAACGTTTCACTTGCCATGATGGGAGCAACAAACCAACGGGTGCTAAGTAGCAGCAAGGTTTTTTGTTTTGCCCTAACCAACACCCAAAGTATCCCAAAGTGGACTGTATAACTAGTGTTTCGCTTCTCGGCTTGTCCGATGGTTGAATGAGAGCCTGGCGCCCTCGATGGCCCTTGGTCCTTGTGGCCCTCATAGTTATTAGTAATCAACTGCAATGGCTCCACTTGATGGTCTCCCTCAGAATCAGCAAGCTTCATATTCGCTTTGAATCACTACATACTACATGACCTACTTGGGTTCGTAGGGATGGTCGTCAATGCCTCAGTGATCTTAGACAACCATCGTAAGCATTCCTATCACAAATCATAGACAACCATTTAGACAACCACTTTAGGCAGCCATTCAAGACCACCATGTTCGACTAGCATTTGTAGACTACCATTTGCGACAAGCATTGTAGATAGCCATTTTAGACGACCATGTGGCTGTGGGTCAAAACCAATGGTACCATCGGGTACGATTTGGCTTTTGACCCATGCCCATGTTAGACAACACCATGATTCTAGGGGTACCTTCCCCAATTCTTTCCAGGCATCCTTGTTTCTAAGCAACCACCCAAAACCCCAAAGGAAACAGCGATCGGTGTTTGAACAGAACGCTGCTTGAAAGGAATGGAAAAGGAATCAACCCCCAGAATTACTCTTTTTTTTGTTTGCCATGAAGCTTCCCAGGTAGTTTACCTATCAAATCAACCCCTAGAATTACTTCTTTTGTCTACCACTTTACCTAACAAAATTCTCAAAAATCAACCCCTGGAATGATTTGAGATGGAACAATCCCAAAGACTTCGGGGAATTTTCCTTCGCAAGGTCCCTGGTGCGGCGCGCCACCGCCTTAGAGAACCTCGGCAGGCACCAGGAGGCGCAGCTTGGAGCCCCGGTTTGTGAAAGGGAAACCCGAAGACTTACCTCTTAAAGACACAACTTTTCAACTTTTTGGGGTAGCATGGGCTATATGTCTGTAAAAGATGAGAACTTCCCCAGGGCTTGGAGTTTTAAGGGGTAAGCCAAAGAAGGTTTTCTCAGCAAAGGTTTGAATATATGGAGTAGATCAATATCCCACGTAGGGCTTCCAAATTTGACCCTGGGTAGCTTTTCCTATTTTGGTGGTTGACATATCATCCTTTTTGTGGTTTCCCCCAATGGTCATCCCATGTAAAGGAACTTTTATTTTAAAGGACACCAGAAGGAACACCGAAGTTCATTTTGGGAGGGTCCAACCTGCAAGACACACCCATTTAGGGTATTTCGGGCCATGTGACACCGGATTTGGGCACCTTGGTTCTCAAGAGGTCCTTTGCTTTGGGCCCGTATGGGTCCGACGAATTGTTCGGTTCCTTTCGGATTCGGGAAAGTCGGATCGTCGGATCGATCCCGTGGGTTGGAACGGGTCTGAGGCAGCGGCAGGGATTTCATTTGGCTCGTCTTGCACCGGGGGATCCACAGCAGCAAAATCGGGGTGATCACTTTGAAAGCAGGGACCTAAGCTTCCATTTGGTTAAGAGTATATATTTGTTATTTTCCCCTGTTGGTTTTAAAGGGAATCTATCACTACTGGACATGTGCTTAGTTTTTCCAGCGGACTTAAGCAAATGGACCTAAGAAGGAAGTGCCTTTGACCAGTTGCAGTGCTGCAAAACCCCGCTTTTGAAAGCATTTCCCGACCTGAAGTGGGGTACCCAGCGCCCAGCAGCGGTTTCACGCGGCTATGTTGGGGCCATGGCGGGCAGGGCAACTCATTTGTTTTTGCTTGGTGGTTCTTCCTTTTTGTCAAGGGCCAGGAATGTTGACTGTGTTTGGCCTTTCTTCAACTCAGGTCAGTGTTTTGCTCTAGCTTCTTGTTTTGGACAACACTTTTGGTGTTTGATAACACTTGTTTTTGTTGCTCTTGCTTCTTAGTAGGGAATGATGAACCATCCAGGTGCTCGCTTCAAAAGGAGTCCCGGCCTGTTTATTTCCAACACATTTCTTGATCTGCACAAAAACCTCAAGATTTGTTTGCGCACCTATGGTTTGGCCAAACCTGCGTTTCCGTTTAAAGGAATAGGCCCTGTCCAACACATTTCTTTACCTGTAGGGTTTGAACGTGGGAATTTAAGGACACGCGCTCAAGGAGCCGGTTTATTCTCAGAACTCTGGTGTGTCTAAAGATAGACCCCACAAAATGGGCGGGTTTCCTTTTGATGTCCTTGGCTGCTGCAAAAGTGGACACTCATTTCTCTAAGGGTTGATTGCATCGTTCCCCCAAGCCGCTCATTTTTGGCCATGGTTGGCGAATGGCCCAAGGTCTGAAGAGAGCAAGCAGCCCTGAAAGGTAATGCAAGAAGCCAGCCATAGCATACCTTGGTGGCTCCCAGCCATCCCCTTAGCTTTTTAGCTTTTTAGTTTTTAGTGGTGTTTTTCATTTAGCCCACTAAACGTTATTCACTTTTACAGGGATCGTTACATTATGCACCTGAACATTGCCTTGTAAATGGTGGCTTCCAACTTTATTTGGGTGTTGAAAACGCCACATGTTTCAATTGGTTGCAAAATGTATCTTTTCAGGAGCCCTGTGGGAGCCGCCCAGTGTTTCGGCAGATGGACTGAAATAAGGACCACCCGCCTCCGGGTGCCCGGACCCTGTTTTAGTGGATCTGAAAACCGACAGCTCAGATACAACCAATGGCCATAGAGGCGCTGCTGGACTTTGCGCGGGTCGCGCGGGCGGACCCCAAGAACTCTGTGGCGGTGGAGGCGGCGAAGCGCCTGCGGGAGGAGGGGTTAGTTTCGGTGAAACCGCACGGGTTCGACGGACATGAACTGGGGTCAGTTTCTTTTGACTGTTCCTGGGGTTGTCAAAGTCAGAAACTGGAATCGGTTGTTTCCTTCCACCCATCACTTCAGGGGTGACTTTGAAGGGAAGATGAGGCCAGACGAAGGGGTTTCCCCGTTTCAGAGACCCACGAAATGAGGCTGGGTCCCCCCAGCCAGGTGCCCTTTCTCATCCCTTTTTTGGTTGGGAGGCTTCCTCTGCTAAAATCGACTGACAAAAAGACGCTTATTCTAACTTCTCAAATCTGGCGGACCTAGGAGGGGGCCCAAGACAAAAAAAACAAGACAAAAAAGCCATCGGCGAAGCGGGGAAACGTGGGCTCCTTCCATCAACTCCCAGGAGCTGGCGAAGAAGATGGAGCGGAGCGAGGTCCTCGGAGATGAGGGACTTGCACACAAACCCTTCCTCCCACGCGAAGAAAAACAAAGAAGCCATGGGTCATAACCTATGCATTTTCCATTTTGGGGCATTTTGGACACCCATGTACCACCTATTTTGATGTTCACCAGTACAGGGTTTTTACCCACAGCCAAATGGGCGTGTTGGTATTAGGGAAGGCCATCTTGGCAAGACCCCCAAATTGTCGGTTCCGTGATTTTCAGGCGCCCTTTTCCTTTCTTTCAGACACCCTGACTACTACTTGGGGCGGTTTGCTGTGAGGAGCTCACTGATCGGAATCGTTCGACCGCCTCAGGAAATATTTGGCATACATCGCCCTTGCAATGCGTTTCTGCCGTGCATTCACTTTCTGAGTTTTTGGACCTACTTGGCAAGACGCCTTTTAGTGGCAAGCAACAAAAACATTGTTTTTGTTTGGCCAACCCATTCAGGAAGTGAGCAGACTCCTTTGATCTTGGGTTTTGGCAACAAGCGATTTCAATTTTGGAACTTTCAATTTTGGAACGTCAGGGAGAACGTTGCCATTTTATGACCTGTCCATTTCCTCTTTTTTTATTTAAAGGAAATGGACCGAGTCAAATGTGTCGAGAACCACCCAACTGGGCCTTCCGGACCGATTCGCCCGGAGAGGGGACGAGTCGAGCCTCCCCAGCCGCCTACTCGCACGGCTTCGAGAAGGAAACGAACAGGCGGGGGACCGAAGGGGAAGCCGAAACCCAGGGGAGTTTCCAGTCTCAATCGATTGACATATTGGGTGTGGCTCAAAAAACATGTACCAAAAATGGCACCTTGGCAAATGGAACCAAAGAGTAAAACCTGCATAACCCTAGCTCTTGAATTTTGAGCCAAACCCATATGTGTGTGTCTCTTTTACTTCTTGGGACCCCCCAAGATTGTGATCTTCCTTTGGTTTGCCCTTAACAGCACCCAAAAACGGGTACCCTCAACAAAACGACACGCCCATATTTCGATTACAGGGACTGAGCTATAGTCAGCCCTCCCCCGCAAAAAAGAAAAGAAAGAAGAAGAGAAGGCGAACAAGGAGTCCGACATCTTTCCAAATGTGTCCTTAATTCGGAGTTATAAGGGCTGAAGCGTTGGAGCAGAGACCTGATGTTTTGCCGCATATTCGTTGGCCTTAGCCCTCAACATGCTTTGGTATTGGTGGTTTCCAGTTTTCCACTTCCAAAGCGCCAAGGGAATACTTTGTACATGAATCCTCCCCCAGGCCTTGGGAAATCAACGCATGTCTCTTTGTAAGACCCCCTTTGAGCCAGCTTCGGTGTCTTTTTTCTTCTGGGACCTTGTTTCTACAAAAGGGGTCGGATTTGGTTTTTGTGATACACCAGCGCTCTCCCTTTTGCAGGGGTCTCCTTACAGCTACTTTCTATTTTGGGGTAAACTACATATGAAACAGAATCTGACAATGTGTTTCTCTGTGTATATACCCCACCAGCACCCCTCAACAACTGCTTCTTGGACAGTAGTTGGGATTCTAGACCAGCTGTTAGGGGGTGGCTGGTAGATGTGGCCCACGTTTGGTACTCTTCTCGTACTCTTCCTCTCAAATCCCTTACAGTGGATCCACCAACGGCGCACCCGTGAATTCTCAACTCCGCTTCAGCCTGACAAAGGATCCCCGAACGGGTAAGGCAGGGTCTCTCTCCAAGAGCGCAGTTGAACAACAGGTCTTCGGAAGGTTTGTATCTCCTCATGCCATACAGGGGTTGATCAGAAGACCATTGGGGGCAAACCGCTAAGAGGATGATATGCCCCACTACATGAGACAACTTCCCCATGGTCAAAACTGGGGGCCGAAGGGTCTATTGATCAACCCCCATGTGGTCGTGTCTTCCCTTCGTGGATTCCGCCCACTGCGGATGATAGATCCTTTCCTGAAAGGTCCCGTTGAAGAGTCTGGGGGCACGTGTTCGCCAGTTGTGTCGCTGTGTCCGCAAGCCTCCAAGTGGAACAAGTTGCCCTCGGAACGCATGATTTGTTGTTGAAACATGTTGTCACGTGGGCTGCGGGGGAGGGAGGGGAGGGGGAGGGAGCACAAATAAGCCCTATTAAGCCATGAATAAGCCCTTATTTGGGTCTTATTTGGGCTCCCTCCCCCTCCCCCCCAGCCCGCATCATGTTGCACCTATGCGTAAATCATAGCTTTTGAAAGTTTGCAGGTTTTTTTTGGAAGGCGGGGTGTGTGCGTTGCCGGGTAGTTGCAATTTAGCGTTTCAGGGGTGATCGTTTTGCTTGGCATGCGCTTGCACGCGGTCGCTAGAGAGTCATTTTTGTTGGCCCTGCCGTAGAGCGGATTTGCAAATCGATTCCTCACTGGTTGCCATCCCATCGGCTCGTTTCGGTGAGCTAGAAATTTGTCAAGAATCGGTTGAAACCAGTCTTCGGGGTTGTCTCGGAAAATGTTGGTTGGGGATCTCTCTGGTGGAGTGTCCTTGGCGGATGTCGTGTGGTGTGTGTCTTTCAAGGCGGCTTTTGGTGATGTGGTGATGTTTGGAGACTTGTCTCTGGGACATGTCTTTGAACATATCTTCTGGGCATTCTTTTCGCAGTGTTTTTAGGAACGTCTTATGGATGTCTTTGTGGATGACTTTGGAGTTTGTTTTGGGGGCTGAGATGTCTTTGGATATGTGGGGATATCTTTGGGGATGCTTGTGGTCATGTGGAGGAATGGTTTTGGTGGATTGCTTGTAGGGTGTGTTTCTGGTCATGTTGTTGGGGATGTTTTTGAGAGTGTTTTTGGGGTGGCACATTTCTGCATTCGGGTTCCCGGCCTCTATCAGGTTGAAAGCTTGCAGGATCAGTGTCTACCCTCCCACCTGCTAACATGGAAGTGCACAAACTCCTGTAGGAAGACCACTTTCATCTTGGTTAGTTGGCCTTTTTGCACAAACCCATGTTAGTTGGTGGGTCACCCAATCCGCGGGTTCTAAGCCGTGTGGTCCGGCCAAACTTGTTGCCTAGAATTTAGGCAGTCATGGGGTCCCTACCTTACATGTGCTGAAACTTTTTTACTGTTTTTTACAAAACAAACTCCCTGTTGGTTTTAAAGGGAATTTATCACCACTGGACATATTTTCATTTGTTCCATGGGGCAGCAAATGGAAGCTACCGAAATGGCCTGTCATATTCACCAAAAGCTGGTTTGGTTCAGTTTGGCCACCAGACACCTCTGCTTGATAGGTCCATTCAACTGCCAGGTCTAGGCGGGCTTTCATGTTTTGTTGAACACAAAAACGCATTGTCCAAGAGGGACCTTGTCTTTTTGCAACCACACACCTGTTCTTCGAGCCCCACTTTTTTGCCTTTTGGTTTCTGGGCTCAACAAAACGAGCTTGGGGGTCAAGCAAACGTCCGGTCCCCACGTTTTTCCGCGCACCTGTTCGGTTTCCGGGCCCAAAAAACGTTGACACGGCCCCCGGATGCGTTTCCTTTGCCCCCAGTGGTGCCCTTCTCTACCAACCGTCTTGGGGGAGGGTTCTACTAAAATAGAAAACAGCAAAAGATCGGGTACCAACTTATTCTAACCTCTCTCTCTACTGGCGGACCTAGGTTCTGATTCCTTTAAACTCAGCCAACCAAAAACTGATGCCCCGTTTATTCCCATGGCCAACGTTGACACGGCCCCCGGATGCGTTTCTGTCCACCGCCTGCGGCGTTTTCGCCTTGCTCCCGCCCGCCCAAACATGTTCCGCAGGAGCAGCTGGAGGCCTGCGAGCAGCTGCGCTTGCAGGCGCTCAAGGGCCAGGCTCGATCGAGCCAGCCGAAGTTTTGCGGTGTGTGTGTGTGTGTGTGTGTGTGTGTGTGTGTGTGTGTTTGTGTGTGTGTGGGGGCTTTGGGGGGGGGGGGGGGGCGGGGCAGGGGACAGGGGGAGGGGGGGTAAGAAAAAAGAAACGGGCAGCGCCCCTCAAAAAAACAAGGAGGCGGCGTTTGTTTTCTTTTTCCTTCTCTGGGATCTCAAGACATATTTTGAGGGGCCTTGTGGTGTCTTAAGAGTTCTCAAATCCATTGGGTCTTGTTTGGGTTCCCTTTAGACTAGCTTGAGAAGGGTACCATCTGAACGAGGGAGCGTGAAACATTTCCCCAGGTTCCCCTATGTTTTTCCTGGTTTCGCTATGTTTACACAAGTTCCCCATGTTAGGTTTCGAAACCCAGAAGGCCGGAGGTGTGCTTCCCTGTGTTTCTCCCCTACGTTTCCCCCAACCTCTTCACAACTTTTGTTCCAGCTTCTTGGGTGGGGTTTCCTTTGCGAATCCTCGTGGCCAGTCTCAGCTCGGGGCTTAGGGAACCCCAGCTTTTGGGACCCGTCAGTTTGGGACCCGTCAGTTTGGCGAGACAGGTTCTGGGCAGGTTCCATGGGGATCTTCCTTGCGTGGCTCGCGGGCTTCCTTGAAGAAAGTCCACCAGCAACCAACAAGGTAAGTCCAATGCAGAAAAACGTGCGAGACAGTCCCGCTTGGTTTCTGGGTTGTGTTTTCTGTTTTGTTTGACTCAACGAGTACAACAAAACAACAAGGCGGGCTTTTGCCCCCGCAAACACGAATGCGCAACGTTGGAACCGTTGATGTGATGGCTGAAACCACCTTGGTTTCGGAGCTAGCGTCGTATCTGGAGCTGGGAGATGACCCTGGACGTCAACCCCGGCTTTCATTTGGTTAAGACAATGGAAAAATCAAAAAGTCCCAGTAGTGAAATCGATTCCCTTTAAAAGCAACAGGGGAAACATAAACAATGGGTTCCTCTTCGCCCATGGCGATTTGGCTGCGGCAACGGGATCCCATTTTGTGGGCTGAGGGTGCACCACCCATTGTAGAACCCATTTTAGTGGTTGGATTGGGATGTTGACTGAGGGTGCGATTTGGATTTTGACCCATGGCCATATGTCGGCAAGGTTCCCGGTCCAGCGCTTTCCATCTAGGTTCCCGGTCCCTCTCTGGACACTTTTTGGTAAAGAAGGCGCCCCAGAGGGTGGAACTCTTGGCCGGACACGAACACAGCAGTTGTTTGTTTTTTCACATTTGTGTGAGGGTACCCTTTTCAGCCCCTTTGACATGTATCATCTTCTGGGCGCATCAATCAGCGGTTCGGTTTCCTCCCTGAAAAGGGGCCTGTCTGTTGATTGGTCGAACGTGTTCAGACGTCTCAAATGGCCTAAGCTCGCTGGTTGTTTAATTTCGCACCTGGGATTGGTGGTTTAAGCAGCATGCAAACCGGGCAAGCAACAAAACACACGATATCATCATATATCATCTCAATTGGCGCGTTGGCTTTTTGTCGGCGATTTTGCGCCCATCCACATGGATTGCTTCCATTTTGCTTAAGAATATTACTATCTTTCCCTGTTGGTTTTCAAGGGAATCTATCACTACCGGACATCTTCTCTCATTTCTTCCAGGGGGCAAAGGGCAAATTTCGAGCCTCGGATGCCAATGTTTCTCGAGATTCGAGCGAGATACAATCTACACGGATCGATCTGGAGGCGGCCACTTTGCTGAAGGCCTCTGCCGTGGAGGTGTTGTTGGCCACGGCGCAAGCGTGCGATGGATCGGTGCGGAAGGTGCCTGGCCGCGAAGCGGGCGATGGGGCGCTTGCTGGGCTTGGGGTTGGGGTGGGAGTTGATGGTCTTTTTGCTGCTACAAGTGTTGTCTGTGAAGGAATAAAGGGCCTGTCTACCCGGCTTCCCGAACCTCAGCAACACCAGTTCCTCTCCGGCAAGTGTTCTTTATATGTATGTTTTTGTATGTCTGCATGTATGTAACATGTATGTATGTCTGTATGCATGCACTTCTTCGAACATCATGGGGGGCTGCCCCCCCCCCCAACCCGCTCGCTATTACTTTCTATATTTTTTACAGAGATTTAATTGCACCCCTGTTTAAATCATCACTTTGTCGAACATCATGGGGAGCGGCCTGCCCCCCCCCCCCAAACCCCCCACCCCCCCCCCCCCCGGCTGCTTTTTTAATTCTATCGCACCCTTTCTCGAATTATTGCACCCCTAATTGAATCATCACTTCTTCGAACATCATGGGGGGCCCCTCCGCAACCTCCCCCTCTACTTTTAGAGTGTTTACAGAGATTTAATTGACCCCTATTTGAATCATCAATTTTTCGACCCCGTCAACCCGCCCGCTACTCTTTGATTTGTTACCCACAATTTGCTGGTGATGTTGGGGATGTTGGGACACGCGGAGGATGTTGAAAACGATGCTGGGGATGTTGACGGGCTAGTGTAAAATACGTAAGTTTCGTGAGAACCCCTGGTTGAGGGGGGGGCTGCAGCTGCCCTGATGCAGCTGCACCCCAGCATTTTTTCTGCGAGTGGACATTCTGTCCACAGGGGGAGGGGGCTGAGCCTGCTGGTGTGGGACACATGCACACAGACTTGGCTTTTCTATCGCCTACACAGCTTACACTCTTATAGACTTGACGCTTAAACTCGGGTCATGCGCTATGGTTTAGGGAGTTCAAAGAGTGGAGCCCTGTTGCGCTGACCCAGCCGTTTGCCTTCACAAAAAAAGGAGCTTGTGACCTAGTAGGCCGTTTGGGCCAGTCATGGGCCTATTCTGGGAATATGTATGTCACCTAACAGTTGCTTGGCAATCAATCAATCTGGTTCAGAACAATCTTTGTGGCCTTTTTGGGAGTGATCGAGCGTATTGTCTGTTCTGGTCTGAAACAACCGCTTGACCAGGTGTAGAGGTTGTTGAAGCCCTTGCCTTTTGATAGTGTGCAGCCCACCATTTTGGTCCGACGAACAAGTTTTCGGCCAAGTGTGCAAGTTGTTGGGCGCCTTCTTTTCACAATGTGCAGCCCACCCACCTGGAAAGCGAGAGAATAGATAGATAGCCAGATAGATAGAAAGGGATATGCAGCTACATAGATAGATAGAGAGATAGATCGATAGATATATAGATAGATAGGGCCATGATAGAAATATAGCTAGGTAGACATATATATATATATATATATATGCAGAGACACACAGAGGGAGACACGGATAAATAGGCCGAGATGCATAGATTGATGGGTAGTTAGACAGATAGAGATATAAATAGCGAGAGAGGTAGATGGATAGATAAACAGAAAGGGCCAAGCATGGACAATATTCCTCCAAACCACTGCGCGTTTTTCCTTGATTGTGTGACTTTTTGCCTGAGGAAAGTTCCCTGACGCGGTGGCCGAAAAAGCATTCTTTTTGTACAGACCCCACCCACCCCACCCCGCCACCCGCGCCCAGTCCACCCACCCGCGCCCAGTCCACCCACCCACCCACCCCACCCACCCCACCCAACCCCACTCACCCCACCGCCTCACCAAAAGAACCGAAAAGGGATGGGCATTTGTTTGTCCAGTCGGGGGCAATGGATGGTTTCGCTGTGGCACTGGTAGTTTCTGGACTTTGGCACGTTCGGATTTGAGGCTCCTTGATGGAGACATGTCTCTTTGCTTTCTGGCCCCTCTTTCCATTGGCTGGTTCAGCGGCGCCGAACGCATGGTCGCCGGTTTGGGGAGGATGAGAAGGGTGCCATCCAAGTTCCCCAACAAACATCTGCGCAACTCGAATGTCCCCTTTGCGGGGGACGATCGGTCATTCTTCCTGACCGATAGATCTATTCGGACAGGGTTCAACCACAGCCGGCCAAAACAGGATCATGTTCATGTTGGCTTCCTTTTAAGCAAACTTCCAGGGAACCACCGTACTGTAAACCCACGGGGTGGTCATCATAGGTGGACCTGGTAAATGTAACAAAACCCATCTAAACCAGTGCCATTCATTTTTAACCAAGCAAACTTACAAAGGACGCCTATGGTGGCCGTGCCTTGCAAACTTAGGCGGCGCTGCAATGTCTCTGCAGCCTCAGCTCCGGCAGGGAGCTGGACGACCTGGAGGCAAACATCGCCAGATTCGCGGGTGACGGGTGGTCCGCAAAGGTCGGTTGTGGCTTGATGTTGCATGGATGCAAAAAGCAGAGCAAATGCCAATCACATGCGATCATTTTACAACATGGACTAGTAGATGAACTTTAACTCGATGACAAAGCAGCGTCCGGAAAGGAACCCCATTCCAATGTGGTGGACAATTAGGTTTTGGTGGTTTTAGTCTTTGGCACTTTTTTTTGAAAACGCACATTGTCAAATCACAAAGGTGACTTTTCACCACGGTGGATGGACTTTGTGTGTCTCGTTTTTTTTTTTTTTCCCCCGGGTCAGGAGTTCTGAATTGGGTTCCTTGATTCGTTCCGTAGGGGTCCCTAGCTGTAAGAAACACTGATTTAGTATTCCCACAGAATGAGGCTGCCAGTTGGTCATGGAAGGATTGGTCCAATCGTTTGAGAGGTGGGTTCTCGTCTTTCAAATAGATGGTTGTGTAGAGGACATAGCCAAGATGATTGCCAGTGCAAGGGAAGTTACTTTATTTTATGTGCTGGGCCTGGGTGCTGAGATACGTTTTTGTGCTGCAAAAGCGGAGGTCGCTAAAGCATTGGAACCCCCAAGATGGTTGGCTCCCTTTTGCGGCGCGCGTCTTGCACTTTGCCCGTCGACTGCCATAGACTCCCATAGACTCCGTTCTTAACTGACAAGTTAAGCTGCTCTTGGTTGTTTTTCGAGTACCACGGGAGGGAAAGCGGGGTCCCCTGAATTCTCCTTTGAATCACCGACCAAAAAGGCACCCTGGAACAAACTTTTGTTGCATCACTGCCCGAGTTTCTGCACTATGTCGTTCTCGGGAAGACCATTATTGGGGGCATACAGAAGGCTTGGACTTTTCCTGTTTCCTTTTCGAGTTCGACATCGCGGTTGGGCTCCTGAAACGATACTCCCAGCCACTAGCTTTGCAAGGGGGGTTTCCACTCTTGCAATCAGCTGGTTTTTAAGTTGGATCCTCGTAGTCCGCCGGTTTTTAGATCGTAGATCCAGCGGCTCTCTCTTTTTCGGGTTTCTTGCCTGGCCCTGAAGTTTCGGGTGCCCGCCCGGGCGTTTCCCGCAGGTGCCCGACGTGAGCGACCGGGCCGGCTCCCTGCCGGCGGCGGCTTCCGCCGCGAGGCGAGTTGGCATCCAGTGGAAGCTGGGTCCCCCAGTAGTGCCCCTTTACCAACCTTTTTTGGGCGTGGGTTCCCCTACTAAAATAGACGCCAGAAAAACAAATCGGGTACCAACTTCTTCTAACCTCTCTATTGGACCTAGGAAGGGCTCCGACTCCTAACTCAAGCCACCAAAAATGGATCCCATGGCCACCGGGCATGAACCAGAACCACTGGTTTTGGGTGAGAACCAAGAGAAAGTTGGACATGGAAAGAAAGTAAAGCTAGTTGGGACCCGGGTGCTGGTGGAACCACTCGAAGTTGTTGTATTTGTGTGTGTGTGTTTTTAAACCAGGTAAGTTTCTGGGTGACTTATAACGACCTCACACGACCGAATTCACCCCAAATGGTGGTTTATGTGGGGAATGGTCCCCAACCACTTATTTCTGGTGAAACATTATAATTGACCCATACATTTTACTTGGAGGCATCCCGTGAAGGATGCATGAAGCTGAACTGGCAGCAACCCTTGTTCCTGCCACTGAAAGTATGGGCATCCTCTTTGGTCGAGGGTGGGTGTGGTCCAAAAGAAGCTCAGAGAAACCAACCATCTTTAGAGTCCTCTATAAATGACCTGATTTAATTTTTTTCAGTACCCCCCCCCCCCCCAAAAAAAAAAAGAGAAGACACAATGCCCCCACCCATCTTTATGGCCATTGGCGAAGCCTGATTCGGAGACGCCCCTAAACACAGTCAATGGACAAATCCCACACACACACACACACATTGCGATCAAGCGTTGCAGGATTTTGCCCCCTCCACCGCAAAAGGGGCAAAACAATTACCAAGAGTTTACCCCCATGACCAAAGTGCCCTGCAACCCCATCTTCTTATCTGCCAGTGCTAACAGGGAAGGTCATCCACCTTGTAGGATCCTTAAGAGCCATTATACCACCAAAATCGGGGGTAGCCCAAAAAAAGACACACCCATACAGGCCCTGGAAGTATGTCCGTGTCCCCTCGAGGAAGCAGCTGCGGGCAGCCTTTGGCTCGGAGAACGGTCTGAAGCAGCTGGCTCGACTCTGCCAGAACCACGCCGGACCAATTTTGGGCTGTTGGGAGGGTTCCGCTACTACAATAGACTACCCTTATTCTAACCTCTCTACTGGAGGACCTAGTTGGTGATTTTGGGATTCGGTGGTTTGCATATTTGTTTAACTTCCCCTGTTGGTTTTAAAGGGAATCTATCACTACAGGACGTAATTCAGTTTCTTCCGGGTGGCTTAAGCAAATAGAAGTTTGGGGGTGGAACTGCAGTTCCTTTTGAAGAGAGCTGGGGAAGGACATATTAATTCCTGAGGGGCAAGCCACCAAACCAAACCAAAACCAAACCACCAATTAGGGCTATTAGGGGTAAGGTGACTCGCTACCGACAACCTTTCTCAGGCGAAGGTTGCCACGTCTGTGGGAAATAGTTTTTCAGATGCAGATTTCTGTGACACAGGCAGATCAAGTAGTGGGGCTGGAGGCCCAGTTTTTCTTGACGGGCTCACCACTTAACGGGCTGGGTTCCTGAAATTCGGGACCTTAGAGAAGCATTTCGCCGTTGACACCCCTGGGTTCCTGCTCCCTTCCTTTTTTTTGGGCGCGGGGGAGGGGGGGTGGGTGGCCTCCTAGGAGCAAGCCGGCAACTTAGCCCAGTGAGTTGACCGCTAGGCTGGGAGCGGTTTTTTTGGAAGGAGCTGTTACTTCTCTTAGCTCCCCATCCGGTCCCTTGGCCTGGGATCTGAATCCGATCTGCGGGCAGCCCAGTGATGTGGGTTGCGCCTGGCGTCAGGACCCCGGAGAGGGGCAGCTTGCGACAAGCCCTTCATACGTGGCAGCCAAAAAGGGCTGTGGGTCGAAGCCGTTTGGGATCCCATCTTGGGCTTTAGTGGGATTGGGATGTTCACTGGGGGAACGGGAACTTGAGCCATGGCCATATGCGACCGGAAGTCCTTTCTACTTTTGCAAAGCAAAGAGATCCAAGGCGGTGTAAAGTGCGCACCCCGAGATGCTGGGGAAAGAAAAGCCGGTCTTGAGTGTTACTTGGATTGTTCCATGGAGCATTTTATTTTTTTCTGGGGAAGAACTGGAAACAAGTACTTTGTTATCCTCTTGGGAACACTCTAAAACACGTGTTGGCAAGTTTCCCCCTAAATTTGTTGACCCAAAAAGCAGCTTGAACTTTTTTCCTGTTCACCAACTCAGCCGGTCAGAGTAGGCCCACAATTTCGGTGCCCCCCAACTAGGGCCAACATTCAGTTGGCAGGAAGCATGAGCCAGCTCGCCTTGCTCCTGGGCTACTGCTGGCGCCTCAGGTCTTGCCGCAAATCGCCCGCCAGGCCTCCTGGGTCCACAGTTCCACTTGTCAGCAGGGGTTTATCCGACTGTGATACAAGTTGGACTCCCTTCTTTCCACGGAAATTCGTCTTTTGGGTTCGGCCCTTGTTCCATGTCCCTCAGGCCTTGTCAGTGGAACCTGTCGATGTTTCCCACGCTTGGGATCCTGTCCCAAAAATTTGGCGGCAAGGATTGGCGGACACCCAGGAGCCTGGATCGAGCCTGTGGCTCTTTCTTGGGTCAATCAGCTCGGCAGGGGTTCCATTGCCTGAAGACTGTGTTTTTTTTTCCAGGGGGCGGAGTTCTCGACAGCCCAGCCACAAAGAAATGTTGGGAGTCGCATTTTTTTGAGTACTACAAGCACCCAATATAAAAGGAAGCAAGCCCTAGATTCGGGGCTGGGTTTGACTCCATCCCTGGGGGGGGGCTATCCCTGGATAACCCCCCCCCCGTTGGGGTGCATGATGATCGGATGATGGATTTGTGTAGGGAAATTCGGAATTCGGCTCAGATGACCCACAATCAAAGAGGGACATTCTGAGCCACAAATGGTTGCGGGAATCCGCCTGTTCCATTCTTTACATCATGGGGGCTGGAAAGGAGGGAGGGGGGAAGGGGGAGGAGGGAGCCCAAAAAATCCCTTAAACCCTTAATAAGGCCTGGTTTAGGGCTTATTTGGGCTCCCTCCCCCTCCCCTCCCTCCTTTCCAGCCCCAATGATTACATGGTTCGTAGACCATTCTTTTTGCACCAGGTTTTGATTGCGACTTTAATTTGAGCTTGGGTTATCGACCTTAACGAGGCAACGCGGAAACGGGAGGTTCCCATGCACCAGCCCATGGTTTTTGGTGGGACGTATCTATTTTACCCGCAAGGCAGAGGAGCAACCCCGGTTAAACCGGTTTCTCATGCGGGCAGTGAAGGAGCAGAAAGCAACCGAGTATTTGTGGTAGACCATTCTTGCTGGTGCGAGAGATGCCTCTCGGTCCCTGATGCATGGAGTCTGACCCCAAAACAAGCACCATCCAATTCATTGGTGATGTGGTCCAATCTTCGGGAATCCCAAAACGGTTCATTCCAACTCGTTCCCCACCGACGGATTCCGCATCGCAAGCCTAAAAAAGAAACCCAAATCAGGTTTTGGATGCCGATCCGATGTTCAGTGGCACCATCTATGTTTCCCTTTGTTGTTGGCTGCCCCACTAAACATGGTCCCCAAAAAGGCTTCCCCATTTTTGTTCCCCGGGTCACTGCACACCTGGCACACCCGAGCCTCAGCTCCGGATTTCCCAGGCGCGGAGCTGGAGGACCAGCAGGCCTTGGAGGTGCTGCGTGCAGCCCTGGACTTCGGGGGCGAGGACGGATCGGCTTCCCGAAGCGAGCGCTCGGCGTCCCCGCCCGTCGCGTTTTTTTTGTTTTTTTCCGCGCGGGGGGAAAACAAAAGACGCCTTCCCCCCTTGCATGTGGGCAATCCGAAGTGATCTGCTCCGAAGTCATGATTCGCTGGGTTATGTAGGTGGCCCATATTCTGTGAATTGCGCCATCCACTTCCTGACGCGAATGGGGCACTCCACCCAGCTCGTGCAATAAATCCATTTGGGTATGGATCAAAATTAAACTACCAGGGGACCGCAGGTTTCGGTCCATGTTTCCATTTCCAGGATTCCATTTTGGGTGCATATTGTCCCCTGTTGATTTTGAAGGGAATCATTTTTTCACTACTGGGCATTGTTTTATTTTTGTTTCTAGGGGACTTAAGCAAATGGAGGCACCGTGGAGATTGTTCTTTAGGGGTTGTTCCTGGTTGAGAAGTCGCAGTGGCTGAATGAACTGTTAGAACAAACATTGATCGAATAATGGTTTTTCCACCAATGGAGTGTGCCAAAGGGGTCATTCCATGTCTCATTCCCTGAGCACCAGCAAGTTCCATCTGCTGAAATTAATATGTCTTTACTCTTTTCCCTTCTTGGCTTCAAAGGGGATTTGTTTTATCACTGCTGGACATATTTTTGCATTTTTCCCAGGCGGCGAAAAAGCAAATGGAAGAAAGTGAGGAGGAAAACCCACCATCTTGAGGCTATGACCTGACACATACCCATGTCAGTTAAGGTGGCCTTGGCGGGTGCTTTTTTTCACAGGAAAAGCTGAAGAAACCACCCGACCTCACATGAGGAGAGAGATCGGCTGAGCCGGGAAACATGCGGGGTTTGGCTCCAAGTTTTCAGAGGAGACCCCATAGAAAACCAAGCGCAGCTTATTACCAGGGGGGTGGGAGAGGTCTGATTCCCCACATTTCAGCCAGGGAGATCCCTATTCAGAACCAGGTCCCCCAGTAGTGCCCTTGTACCCTTTTTTTGGGAGGGTTCCCCTACTAAAACAGACAGGAAAAAATCGAGTGCCAACTATACTAACCTCTCAAATCTGGAGAACCTAGATGAGCTAATTGGTAGTTATGCAAAAAATCATGAGGGGTTCTCTTCATGGTTGTTGGGACACACATTTTACATTTCTGCTCAGGGTCGTGGGATCAAGGGGTTTATCCCCACTTCTGTGATACAAGGGAATCCCCTTTTTTTATGGGGGTTAGTCTTTGGGAAGCTCTTTTTGTTGTATCACAGAAGTGGATTCCATTTCCCACAGCCCTGTTTCTGCTTATTGTGGTTTGGTGGAAATCCAAATAAACTGAGGTTGATTACGGAGTCACCGGTATGATCGGTTTGCAGAGGCCCGAGGCTCGGCCGGGCTCGTAGGAGACACCTCGTGCCGGATTAGTGCTCTGCTCAGTGCGGGAGCGTGGCTGGTGCCAAAAAGCGCTTTGGGATTGGTCATGTGTTCTTCCCAAATAATGTTGGACCCTGTTTACACCACCCCCACCCCCACCCCCGCTAGGAGTGGAACCAATCAGTTGGACCCTCTTTAAGCGAGATCCTGGGGGTCTGGGAGAACAGTACTTACTTTAGTATTGCCAATTCTACTTTAGTATTGCCAAGGCTGACCCTCAGCTTCCCAGTACTTACTTTAATATTGCCAATTCTACTTAGTTACTTTAGTATTGCGGGTCAGATACCTAGCACTTACTTTCGTATCGCCCAGGACCTGTTTTTCAGCCACCCCCAACCAGGTTAGACACATTTCAGAGGGCCCCAAAACAGTCGCGTTGAACGAGGATCGCGGTTTCTCTGGTGGGCACCCCCCCCTTTGCGTGACTGGTTGCCCGCACTTTCTTGTAAGGAAGTTATCTTAAATTTGATGGTTTGGGGACCACTTCAAGAGATCCTGTTTGCCCGGATTTGTTTGCTCGGGTGTTTTGCTCGGCTTCTTTGCCAAGTTTGTTTGGCCCATGCTTAATCGGAGGCTTAGCCCTGGACAAGATCAAGAGAGTCAAAAAACAGAGCACTGTTTTTCTGTTTTTTTTTGGGGGGGATAATTGCTGCAATTGAGGACCCCAAAACAGTCACAAGATCCTGAATTACGAAAAAAAATGCTACAATAGAGTGGACTATTAATAAAGGAGGTGTAGCATTAGACCAAAAGGCCATGGGTCATCCATTTGCTTAAGAACATGTTTTTATTTTCCCTTGTTGCTTTTAAAGGGAATCTACTACTGGACATATTTTTTTTAAAGGGGGGTTAAGCAAATGGAAGGGGTGGTTTTTCCAATTCAATTCCTCTACTGAGCGTCGATGGCAATCCAACTTTACCGAAATGTGCTGCGGTACATCGGTTGTCTTTGTTGACAGAAGGAGGCGTTCTGTGTGACGTTGGGAGTATATACTCACTATAATCCGATGACATTGCAAACTACTACACATTTGTCTAGGGGTACCTTCCCCATTCTTTCCAGGCATCCTTTGTTCTACAAAACCACCCAAAAACCTGGGGAAACAGCTGTTTTTTTTTTTTTTAAAAAAAAAACAAGAACGATGGTTGAGAAGAATGGGGAATCAAACCCTAAAACGTGTGATGCCTACAGATGTTCGGCGGTGTCTATGGGTTGTCGAAGTTGAACCACCCCCCTGTCCAATATTCATGGGAGGGGACAGGGGGCCTGTTCATGAGAATGGTACTGCTAGTCTTCCAAATTCCTCCTGTCCCTTCCTGTGATTGTTGGACGGGTACTATTTGGGCCATGAATTTGACAATGCAAAATTTCGGGGCCAGTTTGGTTTCAAGTTGCCGTTAGCAATTCTGTGCTGATACCTAACTCCCACCACGCTTCCGGCCCTTCCAACCTGTTTGCCCCACGCACCAGCTACCTCCAATCAAGCCCGATACTATTTTCTGATCCAACGCCAACAAAACCCCGGCTGTTTCGAGGCCACGCCGGCAAAACCTTCAGGGCTGAGGAAACCATGCCAGCAAACGCGTCGCAACCAATTTTTTAAGGCTTTGCTGAGTGTACGCCAGAAACCACCATTGCATTTCAGGCGTGGCATAAGGTGCAAACAGGACTTCTCCCTTAAAGAACGGTTTCCATGTGGCCAGTGAATTAGATCCAAAGGCCCTGGTGAACTTCACCTGGGGCTGGTGTTTAAAAAGCGGAGCCAAACCATCAGACTGGGACCCAAAAACTATGGTGAATGATCATTTCAGGATTGGACCCCCGTAGAACAAGTCGTTCTCATTTTAGGAGGTCTCCTAGAATCCCCCTTCCCGGCCCCCCGTTGGGACCAAAGGATTTTCCTTCTTGGTGGAGGGCCCTCGATTTTCTTGTTGCTTTGGTAGGTGGCGCTCAACTCCATTTGTGACGCCCGGCGCCGCATGGGAGCTGCAGGCGGGCGTCGAGGTGAGGGTGCGGACGGTTGGGAAAAGTCCAAAGTCCAAAGTTCGACTTATTTGTGGGTTTAGTTCGGAAAACCCAACTTGATTTCAACCAAAAAGTTAAAGTCTAAAGATCCATAGGTGTCCTTTGACATCCTTTTACCATTTCTCTTTTGGTTGGGAGGGTCCTACTAAAATAGACAAAAAAGAAAAAAAGGGCACCCTTATTCCAATCTCTCTACTGGAGGACCTAGTTTCCCTTTATCAAGGTGCACCCCTAAAAGTGATGGGTTGAAGGAAACAACCGATTTCAGTTTCTGACTTTACCCCAGAAACACTGAGGACCCCCGATCCCGAAGAAGCCCTGTGGTGGCTAAACGGCGACGCCAGAATGACCCCAATCCCGTCCCCAAGAGTTTGCAGTTCGAACGGCCAGACACCAGCCTGTTTGTCCGTTACCCTTTGGGGCCTTTTAAACACCATGGAAAAGTGTACTTGATGCATTGGCATGATCTTTCATGGCAACTTGACGGCGAAGCCAGCTTGGTACAAGCACTACTTTTTGCTTGCTGGAAAGGGATGTTCTCCCTTCAAGGATGCCCAGCAACTGCGGGCAGCGCGTTTTTTTCGGGCTAAGAAGTGGGCCAGGATCCTTCGCGAGGAGCTGCTTCAATCTGGGATCAACATTCTCCCCAACACACGAGGAGCTATGCACCCGCCCGCTAAGGCCTTCAAGATCTATACTAAAGCCAATGTTTCCCATGTCAACACGCACTCGCCAATTGAAAGTTTCAGGAACGCATTGAACCGGCTTTCAACCCTTGCTTCAACACCACATATTTCCGCACGTTCAGACTAATTCTTTGGCTATTGTCGAAACCATGTCGTTCAGCCAATGTTTCAGCCAAAGTACTTCAACCAAGATTCAAACCCACATTCAACCAAGCTGTCCAATCCATAAAGTGATTGGGAAACATTCTACACAGGGCTCATTAAACATGGGCAGAATTCACCGTGTTGTTGTTTGTTTGGCAATGCAACATGTTTTTGACAAACTGAACTCACCATCTTGCGGGTGTCTTGCCTTTTTGGCAACCTTTTGGTTTCCGCCATCAACAAGTGGTCACTTGCGTGTCGGATTCCGGGTGAAACGTTCGTACAAGCGTCGGATTGAACTTCGGCCCATCGCCAGAGATTGGCAGAGAGCAAAGCTAAGAATTCGATGGGATTTGCTTTGTGTTGGCCTCAGTTGCTTCTGCTTTACCATTCACCACGCAGAGCTTCTAGGTTCCGCTTGTTGACTACCCCAAGACAGACTTCTAAACCCAGGGGTTCCACTTTTTTTTTGGGGGGGGGGGGGTATTTTAGAGCCCCTGCCGCGGTTGGCGTCTGAATTTCGGGTTCCGCCGAAACCTTGGCGGACGCCTTCGCCTCCAAACCGCCTCGATTCGGTTTGCCTCGATTCGCCTCGCGCGGAGCGCTTGCGGAGGCCAGGCCTTGGTGCCCTCGAGAGCTCTGCTGCGGTGCCTGGAGAGTGCCTTGAGCACCGGGCACCGGGAGCTGCTGCAGGGTCTCCTGGCAGAGGCCGAGATGAGAATGTTCGCGTCGGGCGGAGCCAGGAGCCGGGTGGTTTTGGGGCCGCGTTTTGCTTGGGTGCCAATTGGGTTTTTGAGGACCTCTCCCCCCTGGCCCAAGCAAGATGGAGCCGGTGGTGTTGGGGGCCCCGTTTTTTGTTGGGGGCCAATTTGGTTTTTCGGGACCCCCGAACAAAATGGCTGCGGTGTTCCTCGTGGCCCTACCCCGAAAGCAGATGGGTCCCTCCGCCCAGTTCAACTTGGTTGGAAGGTTTTTGTGAAAGGAAAATGGTCAACTGCCAAGAAAGGACTGCGCCTTTTATGTTCCTCCACTCTAGGAGGGGATCCTCACAAATTTCGTCAACACCCTGCGGACGCACCAACAGTTGGGAGCAAATGACCTGGGGTAGCGATGTAACCCATTTCCGGTTCAGGACTTGCACTTTGAGAAGAGATCAGATCGGGTTGCTTCACCGATTGCTGGTAAAGGGAACTCAGAGGAAACCGACCCACTTCTACCCAGGTTTGAAAAAAATGATGCTGGGAGCAAGTTACTTCTGCTTGGTATGACAATCAGTATAAGGATTCCGTTTTGTTAAACGAAGCATAGTCATGACCCATATTGGGGAGTCTTTACATCGGCACATGTGGCGTGTTTTTCTTTACCAGCTCAAAACAGGGACGAGCCACCCGTATTCTTGCTGGTGCTCTGTCAGATTAAATAGCTGTATTCGTTTTTTAGTGGCTAGTGGCGGTGGTTATGTTGGTAAGTAAGTGAAACGCAGGCCGCGGAAGCTCCGCGGAAGCGGCGCGGAAGCTGCGACCTGTTATGTTGTTTCAAACTATTGGCTTGCCATGTTACACGCTTGTACCAAAAAGTTACGATTCTCAAGCTGGATCTCGGAAAGGTCACCTCGCGTACTACATCTGTGCATGAAAAGTTTCAGATCAACGAGCTGGAGCTGAGAAAGTGGCCTTCGCGTACTACAATTGTACTAAAATTTGCGATTCTCGAGCCGGAGCTCGGAAAGTGCCCGACGCGTACTGAAATAAAAAAAGCAATAAACGCGCCTTTTCGTTGTGTAAGGGGACGCCCCTTAACTTGTTTTGCAGGCCCACAAACCATTGTAAACCGATACAGAGCAAAACAAAAAACGATACCCCCAGAAGCCATCAAGACACACATCAGGTCCAAGCTGTTGTCGCAAACCAAGATTGCGGAATCAGACATTTGCAGGGCCCAAACTGATACCCAAACCGATGCCCAACCGATACCCAACTCAGTAGCTGCTGTACAAATCAAACTGACCATGCCTGGGCAAGCAAACGGTTTGGTTTGAACGATGCCCCGAACGATGCCCAAACGATGCCCATATCGCTGGCATAGCCCGCAAACTGGAACCAAGAGCCTGTCCCGGAAAGTTCTCGAGATCTTCTAAGGAGATGCCTTGGTCTGGATCTGCTGAATAACCAAACGCAATTTCACAGCTGACCAGAGCAGATGAAGAGCATTCGCAGCTATGGATGCCGCAGAAGGTACGCTTTGTGCCGCGGAAGCGGCGCGGAAGCGGAGGGATCGCCGCCTTTTTTCTCAGTGTTTTACGGAAACCCTCCTGTAGGGAATGTGGGAATGAACCCAGGCTTTGGTCCCCTTAAAGGAACCACGAAATGGATGGTTTGTCTCGGAGTCATTCCATTTCCCAGTATAAGTGAAGGTTAGTACGGAAACATCCCGGCCAGAATGAGTCGCGGCCGTCTTTGTAGTTCTTTCCATTGGTTTGGGTGTGCACCATGTTCTATACCGAGCGGTTTTCCTCGTGACTGACGTATTGGTCATGCCTAGATTGCCAAGTGGCCGTTTTTTTTCTCAGTCGCCGCTGCCGGTGTTCGGGGTAAAGTGCATGGAGCCCAGGGAGTCCAAAGGCCGTTTCGAGTTACGGAGGCCATTTAAACACGGATGTTTTTTTTCGGCCTTTTTACGGGGTGTTTACGGCCGTTGACAAAAGGCCTAAGTCACGGCCGAGGAAGCTCTGGGGAATAAGATAAGCAAAGAAGTGCGGCCCGCCGCTGGCGATCGATCCAGGTACCGAGTTTGGCCCAGGCTGCCGGGCTTAGTTCTTTGCATTGGTTTGGGTGTGCACCGTTTTAATACCTCAGCTGTTCAGTGGCACCAATTATTTTCACTTTTTTTGGTGGCTGCCCCACTTAAAATGGTCCCAGCCCCAAAAAGGGTTCCCTCTTTTTTTCAGGGTCACTGAACAACTGAGATACCGCACCGGTTTTCCCTGTGACCCAAGTATTGATCATACTCTTCCGTTGGGTTAAGGTACCTTCATTTTTTGGTGAACCGCGCTGGATGCGACCTATGTCAAAGTTGGTACGTATTAAGCATATGGTCAAATCCAGCTTATCTTGATTGCTATTGGGTAACAGATCTTTAGACTTTGACTTTTTGGGAATTCCCTTGGGGTGTCATTATCCCTGTAGCATGAAGCCAATGGAGGTACCGAGTTTTGCCCAGGCCCGGGCTTGGAGAGAAAAAAAGAAGTCGAACCACTCGAGCCAGCGGTGGAGATGGCAGGTCTTTGCCTTGCTGGCAGACAAGGAGGATCGTCCCAAGGAGCTGCAGGCCGGAGGGGGGGTCCATTGTTTCTGTTTGTTTGTTTGTGTCTAGGTCCCCCAGCTAGGTGCCCTTTCTCACCCCTTTTTTGGTTGGGAGGGTTCCCCTACTAAAACAGACTGCGGAAAAAGGGTACCCTTATTCTAACCTCTCTACTGGAGGACCTAGATGTGTTTGTTGGTTTGTTGGTTTGTTGGTGTGTTTCGTTTGTGTTTTCGTTTGTTTTGGTCGTGTGTTAGTTTGTCAAGTAGTTCTGTTGGGGGGGCAACAAGTTGCTTCGGAGACCCCGTTTCATTTCCCTTCAAACCGGCGGACCCTAAAAATCGCATGCACACACGGAACCACGTAGTTGTCCACCGACATCTATGTTGCACCTTGCTTTGAGGGACGAGCAACTGAACGCGGCTTGCTTGCTTTGTTTGAAACAAGCAAGCGAGCACTTGTCTCCCATGATGTTGCCTTCGGACAGCCGCGCCTTGTGCAGAGACCCCACAGCTTTCGGCTGAAGCTCTGCTTTTGGCATTTGACCCCCCTTTCAGCAGGTCTCCGACGTTTGGCTCACCCGTTTCGCCAAGTCCGCTTGGCCGCTTGCGAGAAGCCCGAGAAGCTGAAGCCAGGTCCATCGTTTGGCTGGGAAGTAGCAAACAAAAAATTCCATGGGATGGATAGAGCTATAGGGTTCAATCGCATCTAGCCCTTCAAACAAAAACAAAGACCAGAGCTCACTTCCTGGGTTCATGAACTTTAAACTTTTTGGGGCTGGACCATTTTAGTGGTAAATCATACAGTTTGGTTACTTTTTTTGGGCCATCCACTCAGCCAGTGAGGCTTGAAGCAGGTGGCTCGGGGGGCTCCAAGGCACCTCTGGGCTCAGCGTCCGCCTGTTCGGCTGCGAAAAGGTGGACCTGGCCAGCGTGGGGCTTCAGATCCTGGAACCCTTCCTGCAGTCCGAGGAGCTTTAGTCGGAAGGGTTGCAACCCGTCGGATTTGTTTGGAGTCGTGCCCCGTCTTTGGTGGGGTGTACAAGGGAAAGCCGCAAGGGGACAGGAATCTGAAAATGGTTGGTGTTGACAGTGTGGACTGTTAACTTTTGATGCCCCTTGGAAGATTTTGCGCCCTGATTTCCTGGAAGTTGTGCTGTTGGCGCATGTTGGTGGTTAAACATCAACAGTTCCAGACATTGGGGCACTCAACATATGAAGTGACACAAGGTGACTGAAATGGTGTGACAAGGATCTCGACATGGGCATTTGGAGCACTCTCTTCCCATGGCTTCGGAGGCTCGAATCTCCGTGAGCCCGGGAGATTGTGTCAGGGAAGCCCCAAGAAACCGAACCGAACTCCCATGGGAAGCTCCCCTATGGCAAAAATAATGACCCATGGTGCCAAGAGGGGGGAAATTTGGACCTCCAAGAATCCCGGGGGTTCCGTGGAGTTTTCCGCAGAAAAAGGAAAAAAAACGCCAAGGAAGTGGGTCCCCCGGATTCAGGATTCTCCCGGATTCTCAGCTCTTTGATGTGGATCTTCAAGGAGCCCGTGGCCTATCCCACCGGAAAACAAGAGACATCTTTTAGCAAGGGATCAACAAACCGCCCAACACAGAGCCCTGAGTCCGCCTTTTCAAATCGCCTAGACTCAAACCCAAGGATGTGAAAGTTTACCTTGGTCAAAAAGTGGACCTCTGTCCCAAACAACCCAGA